CCACTGCACTCCAGTCTGGGTGACAGAGTGAGACTCCAATTCAAAAAAAAAAAAAGAATAATTCACTAAAAATGTAAGCAAGCTGAAAAATAAACATTGAATAAAAAGTATGTCAAATAAGGACATTTCAGAGGCATGAACAACTCTATAAAACATAATACTTGTATAAAAATGGTAGATCCTATTCTAATGCTGAATCATGTATATTAGACCATACTATGAAATATTAAAATGCCTGATTTTTACTTCTTTAATTTTTCCTAATGCTACCCTGTTAATAATATACATTTTAAGAACTCTTCATTAGTCCTGAAATCATAAAGTATAGACTATAAAAATACATAATAAAGTATAAATACACACGTACATACCTTACATACAAGTAAAGTATAAGTCACTAGTTCAGGTAGTAACTTGAACTATGAAAACAATTTGTTAAATAAAGGAATATAGAAAGAACATTATAAGATTTGTGAAATATTTGATTTGCTTAAGATAGTAAACTCTTCTCAGTTACTATAGCAGCATTCATCTGAACATAAATAGTGTATCTATATGTTTGTACTAATATTAAATTTGTTTAAAAGATTTATAATTGAATCTTCTCTCAAGTTTATATTTTTATCAAAATCCTAAAATAATATTATGCAAAAAGCATTAAATCCAGTCCTATTTATTGCTTTTTTTAGGACTAGTATTATAGGGGGAAAGGTTCCTCCCACATAACTAAAAAAGTAACTTTTTGGGAAAAGACAATTGTCTATAGAATGTTTTTTAAAATATATACACAGAATATTAGAATATTAAAAAAGAGAGCAAAATAGTTCCTATCAATTATCTTGAAAACATAAAGTTATAAGTCAATAGCAATGTGTAACTACTTACATACTAATGCTTCAATAATGTCATCAGTTATTTAGTAGCTATTCTGTGGAAAGCACCAAAATAAGCCAAGAAAAATAAATTTAAAAACAATAAACAAAGATCCTGCTCTGGAGCAGTTCTTAATCTAATGAGGGAGGAAAGATTATCATTAATAAAAGACCCATTAGGACCTGGTACAAAAGGAATATGGTAACAAGAGTATAACCCTAATAACAACCTCCCTATCAAGCAACATATATTGAACATTGAAAAATTGGGATTAGGGAAAAGGTTTATTATTTCTAGAGACAACCTTCATGAAAGCAGGATGTTTTAATTAGAGTTGTGGAGAATCATTTTGTAACAGAATATATATGAGAGAAAATGAGCTGGTTTCAAGTCAAAAATCTTATCAAGGACCTAATATGTACAGAACATAAACATTTGTTAAATATAAGTTGTTTTTTGACTATCAAATTGACCAGGAGAATTGTTTATGTATGTACTACACATAGATGGCTTGTAATTCCACAAAGTTTCACATTTGCAGAATTTCACAATTAACATGTGCAGAAACTTAAATATCAGTGCCAAAGTCAAAGTGGTAACTGCCATCAATCACATACCAAAAAAACTGTATATATCACAATAAGAAAGATGTTAATAAATTGCTTCTTCTTTGAACCCAGAATAATACAGGCAAGAGACGAATAAGCTACCAGCATTAAAATGCATATGCACTAAGCCGGGCTCGGTGGCTCAGCCTGTAATCCCGCACCTTTGGGAGGCTGAGGTGAGTGGATTGCCTGAGCCTGCGGGTTCGAGATCCGCCTGGGCAGCGAGACCTCATCTCTACAATAAATCAAAAAATCAGCCGGGCGTGGTAGTGCATGCCTGTAATTCCAGCTACTCAGAAGGCTGAGGCAGAAGGATCACCAGAGCCCAGTAGGCGAGGCTGCGGTGGCCAGGAGCGGCCACTGCACTCCAGTCTGGGTGACAGAGTGAGACTCCAACTCAAAAAAAAAAAAAAAGCATATGCACTGATTATTATGATTTTTCTATAAAACAATACATTCTCACTGAAAGTGGCTGTATGAAGACTGATTGTAATAAAGCAAGATAACTTCCATGTATAACTTTTAGAATGAGCCTAAGTATTTTATCATCACAAGTTTTATATATAAGCTTTAATTATATATAATATTTTTAAAGTTAAATTATTGTAATATATTTCTAAAAGCCTTTGTGGTTTTAAGTTATTGTAGTTGGACTTTTTACTCAAATTAATTATATATTGGTAATAGGTATAGCAACATGTAATTTGACATGTTACATAATAATATGAAGTGTTTAAGCCAAACAAAGAAATATCCAAATTTAAACTTACAGTTCAATTGCCTTGTTCCACATGATAACATATCCAGAAAGTATGAAAGACTCAATATTTACAATATGTGTATTTCCTCTTTCTGTTCCAACATAGAGCCATTTACTCTGGAAAGGTAGATGACAGTAAGTAATTCTGAAAGAAAGAAAATTACAATTAAAATATCTAAATTTTACATCTGGTCAGCATTATATTTTCCTTATACTTATTATGTAGTGAAAGGTATATAAACAAAATATACTATATACTCAAGTAGTATTTAATTATTAGTTGAGGGTATAGGATAAATAACAATACTGTAATATTAAAAACAATAATGATAATAACTATCATTATCATTATAACTATATGGTCACTAATTTACATTATTTCTAATTCTGAAAACAGCACTACAAAACAGATATGTATTTCTATTTTGCAAAAAGGAAACTGGGTGAAATATTTTTTTCACTTGCCTAGGACTGACAGCTTATAACTGGCAAAACTGGGATTCAAATTTATTCCTGTTTGGTTACAAAAGTACAATATTTCCACCAAGCTAAATTTTTTTTAGATCAGACCCACTTTAAATGAAAATTAAGTGCACATAAAAAATAAGTTTCAGAGTTCACAGAAGTTGTGGCAATGTCTACATGAAATGATATTTACTTTTAATTAAGATGCTTGGCATCTAAATACTAAAAAGAAAACTTATAAAGTCAGAGATCCACTGTACTCTTTCCTCAGTTTTATTGTTCTGTTCTCACCTTCACACTGAGCTTTCTGACTAGCTCCAGAACCTGTTCCATAGCCGGAGCAACCATGACTCCTAATAAGAAATACAGGATTTCACAGGATCTTCTATTCACAACATCATCACTCTCTCTACTTTGGCTAACTTAGCCACTCTTCAAAAGAGAAGGATAAGTTCAAAGTTATCTCTTGCCAGAGCTTGTTATTAGTTCATAATATTTTTGAGAGTTTACTTAGAAGAAGAGCTAATACATAGAAGAGCTGAACAGAATTCTGACACCAGGCAGACAGACTAATAATACTTTTTAAAAATGTGAATAATAAATTTCTAACATTGTTCTGTCTTGTACTTCCTTATATAACAGCAAAGAGTGAATACCCAGTATTTCTAATTTATATTCTTAGTCTGGCTCACTAATGTTTTCAACAGCCTTCACTGAACCAAACTTCATCTATTCAAGGCAATCTGCATACTATATCCAAAAAACTAAAAATTCTTCTATTATATAAGCAATTACAGAGTTAATTTACAATCTTATTAATGTATAACATATGATATTGGACAATTTTGATTAAAACCTGAAGTCTAGAATTGTTATCATCAAGGTATATTTAATAATATTGCACAGGAAATAACTTGATGGTCAGGTTTCTAGGCAATGAAAAATCAATTTTCAATTCAACCTTAAGAAGGAAGAATAAACTAATTTCAAAGAGTAAGGCCACACTTTCTGAATCACAAGGAGAGTAGAAAAAACACTAATCTCACTAAAGAAGACACAAATATAGGGGTTCAAGTATAAATAGAGACAAATTTCAATATAAAATAGTCATTCTCAGGACTAACAAAAAAGTGTAATAACCGCTAGGTTTCAGAAACGAGATAGAACTGAAACTATTTCTTAAACTAATAACTACTTTTTTTCTGAAACTTATTAAATTTTTTTCTGAAACTAAAACCTTGATGTCAAAAAATTTTACCTTATATCCGACATCCAATTGATAGGTAGTGCTTATAACAATTAGTAAAGATTCCCAGATTTTATCTGAACTCAAATGAAAAAGACTAACATGATTATTTAAGATTACTGACATAGGTGAGGGGAAGGACATAATTACATTTGTGCTGTATATTTGATAACCCTAATAAATTATTAATTGATACCTTTATAAAACTTAATGTATTGTATGTAATAGTTGTACCTTCATTTGTAAATTGTTTCTACCACATGAAGAATATTTTTCTGTTTCATGTGAGCCTTGGAAAAATAATCTTGTTCCTGTATCTATATTAACTATTATTCTTCTATCATAAACCACCTAAGATATTCTTAGCCTTCCATCCATTCATCTATCTATTCAACCTCCATTAAATTCCTTTAAAAAAAAAAAAAAAAAAACATTGTCTTTGATTACAACACGATTTTTCCCCCCGCAAAGAACATACTATCTACTAGGAAAGATAAAACAAGCAGACAAATAAGAAAAATAAAAGTAAATGACCATAAAGAGTTCAAAGGAGGAAAGTATTAATTACAGTAAAAAAAAAAAACACAAAGCAAAGCAAATGTAGAAAGTTGTATTTGAATTGGGACATAAAAGATCAAAATATAAAATAAATGTTTCTCTACCTTAAATCATGTATAGACCCTTGAAAAACGTTTGCTGAGCCTCACTTTTGACCTACTTCTAGAAATTTTATAACTTATTATGAATGAAAACAAGATAAAAATTCTACATACTTATGGCTCTTTATACATATAAAACAAAAATTATAGATAAAATACAAATGAAAATACAACTAGAACTCAAATAAACAACATTAATTTATGTGACAGTTGAATTTTTTTATACATGAAAAATAACCTCACAATATAAATATGGGTCCAACTGCACAGGTTCTTTTAAGTTTGGTGTGTACTTACTTGAATTTTTTACTACTTTTATTAACTGTAACTGCTTTGAACTCTTTGTTACATAATATGTCACATGATTTCATAGTCATTTGGCATGAATGCATAATATATGCACAAAGTCCACTTATGTTATTTTATTAATCCATAATCATAAAAACAACTATTTGATGCCAACACAATCATAAATACAATCTAACTTTACATATTAAATCTATGGGGCAGTATTTTTTAAATAAAATTGTTTATCCAAATCATTCAAAATGTTTTCATTAGTTTAGCATAACAATAAAAATGTAAGTACAAATTATTTTTATAGAAAACTCACAACCCAGTACTATGCCTATAGACTTTAGTATCAGAAACACTGTCATAATGCATAAGCAAAAAATATTTTCAACAAAGAAAATTGTGTAAAATTACAGACAGTATACTATAGTAAGTTCAGTGGGAAATTTCAACTTTGAAACTCCCTTCCACCCTCAAGTTCTGACAGTTCAATTTTAGACTTATTTGTTGTCTGGGTTCCAGGTGAACCCTGGAGTTCCAGGCATGATGACTCTGGTAATCTGGATTAAGACTTCAGCTCTTATATAATATTCATAATTGTACTTTCTAACCTGGTAACACTCAGAGTCAAGTATATAATGATTCTACAAGTCAATAACAGAAATACCCTAGATGATTATTCAGTTAATATCTAGCAATATTTTAAAACTCTTTGGGGGTGATCTTGACGCATATCCAAAGTTAAGAACCACTAAATCACAGCAACAATTTTTAATCTTTGGTATGAAAATTCTCATTAAAAATCTCTTTCCTGCATTTCCACCACACAAATTATGACTCCTTGGGCTTGAATGAGACATAAGACTCTGAAATTTTAATAACTATCTCAGTCCTTGCTATGCAAAGTCCAGTCCATAGATCAGCAGCAAGGACATCAACTGGAGGCTTATTAGAAATTCAGAATCTGAGACCCCACGAAAGATTCTCTGAATCAGAAATTGCATGTTATGAAAGAAACACCAGTTGAGTCATAAACACCCTGAAGTTTAGAAAGCACTTCTCTAGGTGATACTAATGTGACAATCTATGAACCATATTTTAAGAAACATTGTTTCTGTGATTGAATGACTGCTACATACTTACTCTTCAAGTTTCAAAATAAGAACCTAAATTACCAAATTATTAGTATTAGGGTTAAAGTTTTGTGGCTATGTAGTCTCCAAAAACCAGTTAAAGAAGATGATGATGAGAATAATAATAATAATGATAATACTAATGAAATCATGATAAGGAGCACAACAGCCAGGGAAGAGGACAGGTTACTCTAAGGTCATCTTAAGTCAAAAACTGATATGTATGAATTTTAGTGAAAAAACTCAAATCATATAAAATAAATGATAAAGAATTAACATTTCTTTATGGAAAATAATCTGACAAATTTGAACAAGCTTTACCTAGATGGAATTATTACATAGGAGGCAAAATTTATAAGACAAGTAAAAATTTAAATTTTATCCACAATTTTAATGACTATTAATCAACTAACTGGTCAGTAAAATCTCACTTGATTTTGCTATCATTAATTGGAAAACTGCTGAACATAAGTCAAACTTTAAATATAAGTCAAATATCTGCAAATATATAAAATGACTTACCAAGAATCTAAGTCAAAAGAAAGCAAATATTCTCTGTGAAGTGTTAAAATACAGTAAATATTTTAGACTTTGGAATAGAGACCATATAGATTCTGTTGCAACTATTCAATTCTACCACTGTAGTACAAAAATAACCATAGACAATACATAAACTAATTAGCACAACTGTGTTCTAATAAAACTTTATTTTAAATATATAGGTGGTGGGCCACATTTGACTTGCAGGCTATAGTGTGCTGATTCCAGATATAAGTCATTAAAATTTTCTACTTTTACTGGGCTATGTGGTGTCACATAAGATTTATTGGCTGAAATTCTCAAGGAAACTGTTTGAAATAGTTTACTTTCTCATTAGGAATCACAGAATATTAACTTTACCTGATTTTTTTTGTCAGCATATTATTTATTACCTACCATATAAATAAAGATTACTACATTTTTGTAATCTTACAGTTATTACAAAATTGTTTGGCGCAAGCAAGAAAAACATATGATTAGAAGATTTCATGAGGGGTCACGGATTCTTAATTCTTAGTTAACAATGTCAAATAATATACTAAAAGTAATAATTGACAATACAAAAGATTCATTATTGTAATAAATACTTTATAGGTACTATGTATCAGCACCAAGATGCCAGAGACACAAAATTGTTGACACATTCCAAGTCCTTTGGAAATTCAGAACCAAAAACAATTTGGCAAAACTAAAAGATGAAAATGTATTATTTTAGATCACTTTTGTAAAATAAAGTCGAAATACACCTTTTTGCACTAAATATCCAAACCTATTTTCTTGTTAAAACTTAAATAGCAAAAAACTAAAA